TAACTGTAAGGGAGCAATTTTGTTTGTGGTGTTCTTGAGGGCTCTTGTTGCTTTCCTTCATTGAGGAATTACTTATCAGCTACTGTTTCATAACTGATCAGCAATTATCCTTGACACTTTTATCGCGGGAGCTGTCTTTAAGTAATCCAGCGGTGATTTTGACCACTAAGGTTTCTTTTCTGTATCTCGAGTCTTTCTTCTGTAATTATATCAACCAACTTTCACGGAAACTTGCTAGTACCAACCGTCTAAGGGGCCCACAACACCAGCTTATTTATTTCCTTTCCATCCTGCTCTACAGGGGGGGGGGGCAAAAAAAGACTTTTTTCTTCCTCGACTTTCGAGGCGCTATAAGTTACACTTTATTGAATTCTTATCGGACATTTTTACCACCATATTAAAGAGCATATTAAATACTATCATGACACTCCGCCACAGCCTTCTGGAGGAGCGCCATCGAGAGATTCTGCCACGCGACCGTGAGTTCAGCGAGATCGTTGATTTCTCCGCCACTGTAGACCACCCTATTGAACTCCGCCCGAACCAGGTAATTGAGGGGGTTCAGGTCAGGTTACCTGTAGGCAAGAGTTTTTCCAACGCCCTTTGATTCCATGTGGTGTCACCCAATCCTGTAGCAGTACAAAGTTTCCAAGAAGGTACGGGCGACGACATGTGGAGAGGATATTCTTCTCGAGTTGCTCGATGTAACCGCCAGCGCTCACCTTTAGTCCGGGGCCCACAAAAATATCGGTCTCTCCATTCCAGGTACGTCCGGTCCCCACCATCAACTGGCGCCTTGGCGACTGAGGTGAAGATGATGTCCTAGACCGTAGCGACGTTGACGGAGCTGCTCGATGATGGAGGTCTTCCAGATCGAGAGTACTGGTCTCCAGGTAGCTATCCATGGGTGAGAAGTTTCGCAGCTGTTTGGAGGTGACGTGAATTCCAAAGGTCTTCTCCAGTCAGGCTGCGACTGGAGATGACTTCATATTTTGGTGTACATGAAGGTGATGGGCGAGAGCCAGCTCCTGCTTATAGAGGAACATCTTGGGTATCTTCCGCCCTGGTACTCGTATCCACGTCCTCTGTCTGGGCTGCGAAAACTTTGCTGATATGTGACTCGGTCGAAATGTCTTTTTTTTGCCCCCCCCCCGTATGTCTCCCTGTATCTAAATGAGATTACCTTATACTTTGAAGCTGCTCGATAAAGACAAACTCTGCAATGCTTCCTTTGCCATCATATTTCGCGGACTATGAAAACTCAAGACTTCCACCGAAAACCGAAAAACTCAAAATTTTTCCCCTGAAATCTTGCTCATAAAGCTTACTCGATGCCATGAGCGCGAATATCGCATTGGTTTCTGGGGCTGGCCCCAGTTGGCGCCACTTTGTGCCCAAACATATATTACCGAAATCAGAGTAAACTTGCATATCAGAGTCATTTCAGGTCCTGACCACGAATATGACACTTATGTTTAACGCTGGCGCTATTTGGCGCCACTAGGCGCCAACTTGGCGCCATCGCATTTTGCACCAAAACTGGTGTATGCTTGCTCAATAGGACATTCTTTTGGCACGCTGATTGCCAGCGTTACAGGGATGGCACGACATGCTTGTTTTGACCGCAGCACGTGGTGCGCAGACTTTGGCTGTTTCGTGCCAAGTGGTGTGCTAGGGCAATGAGAGAAACCAAGACGAGACAATTCCCTTTTCCAGTTGCCAGTGATAGTGATCTTCTCCTCTGCTGAGACTCAGTGACAGAGGAAGGGATCACTGTCACCGGAAGGGGTACAGACAATCGCAGCGAGTGACATCAGGACGCCCACTCAAATATGATATTCCTGTTCAGCAAACTTTCCCCGAGGACAATTTGGCGGCGAATCTGGCGATTTAGGGTGTTTTGGCGCCGGCACCCGTGGCGCGAGCCTATGGTATGGGTCAAGCGAGTACGATATTCGTGTACAGGGGGCCAAACTACTCCTTGAAGCGCTTTTCAGCGGAGTCTTCCTCCGCAGAAAAACGTTCTGGAAAACTGACCTGTTCTCCATCCATATTTCTTTAGTTTCATGGTATCGACTAGGTCCATTTACTCCAGCCTACTCTATTTCACACTTTTTCAGTACCTGAATGGTGTACCCATGCCGCAGTGGTTCCTAGACAACAAGGAAGAAATATTCAATAAGTTTACTCAGGTGTTTTAGAGAAAATCCTCACTTCGTACAGCTTTTTTTTCAACGTAGCTTTTGAGGTGGATAACTTCATCGTTGGATCGGGTGAGTATCACAATCCAGAAATCCTCCGATTGAAGTGCGGTTTTCTTCTCCATACTATACTTGATATACTACAATCAAACTGGATTACATTTCGTGATAAAGGTCGCCTTGACAAAAAGAAGTTCGTGGCTTACTCAACAGTAAGTTATTTATGCAAGTGGAGATTTATTTCATTCTATTCATCGACTGCCCACCCCCGAAATCCAGAGTGTGTTTTAACCCAATCTGCTTCAGAGGTCGTTCAGGCTCATACTTTGCGGCAGCGTCCACCAATGGCGACCCAGCGCTCCGTGCGTCCGACAGTTCAGCCACTTAGAAAGTTTAGGGATCGATCTGGCGTCTGCCAGCGTCTACGTCCACCAGTGGCCAGCAGCCAGCGACTGTAGAGAGTATGAGGTAATAGGAGGGTCTGTCTGGTTCCTTCTACCGCTCCATGTGCTGCTTCCTCCTATCGCGCCATACTCTCTACCAACAGTCTCTACCCTCCTACCCTCCATACTGTGCCAGGTGACAGCTATCCTCGTGTCGCCCCCACTCTAGACGATGCTATTAGCGGACTGCTGTGGACGCTGCTGGCCGCTGGTGAAGTTACCACAAAGTATGAACACAGTCCAAGTGCTCCATGTTTAGTTTCCTGGCCACTGGACCTAATTATAGCCTTCACACCCTGCAGGATCGACTACGCCGGGCCTTGAGGGGGTTTCACGATACTCGACTCCAAATGCATTGGAATTCTTCGGGGTAGAGCAACGTTGTGTGAAACCCATCGAGAGGATCTTGCTCAACCGCCAAGGAGGAGGGGGGGGGGGGTCGTGAACGCAACGTCGGTGAGCAGTGAACAGTGCGAAAGTGTCATCGCTAAGTTTTGTAGAGCGGAACTGGAGTTGTAGAAAACTTGGATGTTTGCAAGACTACAAAATATTAAAGTAATTGATTAACATTTTTACTGGTCGGCACAGATTCCTAATAGCATAGATAACGCAACACAATTAGATTCGTTCACACCTTTCCGAACCCTGTGAAGAAAATCTGTTTGCATGGACAAGAGCTGCCGTTAAAAGTTGCACCTTTCCAACACTTCTGCAGCGAACCTAGAAGCGTAATGCACAGCGCACAGTCAGAACACATCGGTCGATGGTAACCCAAATTATGCCTCGACTCAATTCGAAGGGAATATGTGCCTTGAAGGCACCATTAGGATCCCGGGTGAATGTTCTCGTAATGGCAGAATAAGAGAAGAGCTCTTGAGTGCCTCACGATTCTGCCCACCACAAACCATCTGAAATATCTTCTTCACTAACAGCACTTCTTCACTAACACTATTCATCAGAATTGTAACGCTTCTTGGCAGGAGGAATTATTGGGCTTTGTTAAGATGTTTTTGGTTTTGAAAACGACTGCGTGTGAGTTATTGTCGTCTAAAACAGTCGCGGAGTACTAAAAACTCGCGAAAAAACTGCCACTAATCCATCTAAAACCCAACCAAAATATTTGCCGAACAGAGAAAAATATTCAGACTAGATGTGGTAGGAAAATGCAACAGTAGGAGCCATCGCTTCAAGACGCCGCCTTTCTCATCCTAAAAGTTACAACCCTGAAAACCTGTAACTCTCAAAAAATTTACTGCAGTTCCTACCCTGCTAGCAGGTCTGCTCAAGTTGTATTTGCGCTGGACGACGCTTCCGCGAGCTCTTGTAGATCCTTACGTGCCTGATCTTTTCCATTACAGCTAACAGTTAGAGCTGGGAGGGGGTCGTACCAGGACTTTCCTCAAGGGGAGGGGGTATGCCCTGCCTTTCGTTGAAGAGGGGATCCGCCACTTTACACATCACGATGTGACCACTGAATCTATAAAACGGCTCATTCTTCCCGGACCTTTTCCCGCTGACTAATGCTGCAAGGATTCTCGTAGGCGCTTGCTGGGATTGAGGTGTTGGATTTTACTCTGTTAGACTGCGTTCATACCTTGCGGCAGCGTGCGCCAGCGTCTACCAGTATCCATAGCGATCACTAGCGTTCTGAGTGTCTAGCAGCGCCAGCGACTAGGAAAGTATGGGTATCGATCTACGTCTGCCAACGTCTACTAGCGTCTACCAGCTACCAGGAGTGGAGAGTATTGGGAAGTGCGAGAGTAGCAGACTGCTGGATCAGACGTTATGAACTTGCGGCATGTGCAAGTGCACCGTACAGTTGCAGTACACCGTAAATAAGATTTCATACTTCTGTGCTTTAGCAGTTGTGCGGTGCGGTTGCACACGCCGCAATTTCACGACGCCTAATCCAGCTATTTGCCACCCCCTAGTTCCCCATACTCTCTACTCCCGGAAGCTGGTAGACGCTCTGAGACAATGGCAGACGATGGGAGACGCTGGCAGATGCTGCTGCAAAGTATGAACGCAGCCTTATTTTATCACAGCGATCTGGCCTCGGGCGCTTCGGTAGCTCTATTTTTCACGGACTTCTACGTCTTCAAGGGGTCATTTTTGCCGATTTTGAAATTATTCTTCCTGGCATAGCTGACTTATATCAAGCTTATTTGGGTGCTCAATTCAAATGAAATAAAAATGCCATTCTACAGAAATCCCGAGTTTTTGCTTGTTCCAAGTTTTTTTTTCGTCACTGTTTGAGTTGAGAAGATAGCGCCTCTGTTTTCACGAAGCTCTCCTTGTTCTACCCCTTTTGGAAACGTGTTCTTTCAACACACTCATATTTCAGCAAGACTGGTTGATGCAGGCTTTCATGGACGCGATTGGAATTCGGGATAAGGCGATCGGCCACACCACACCCAAGTATAACTCGATGATCATTTTGGAGCTAAGACAAACCGACGGCGCACCAGTAGTCATGGTTTGTCTTCAACTTATGAAGAGTGGGAGTGTTCTCGATAAAGTCTCTCTCACTTTCACAAAAATGCTGAGTAATGGGCAAAAGTCTTGGTCCAAGGTGGGTCTTCCGCCCGCCCTTTACGTTTTCCGGTGTGTACGCTATCCGTCACGCCGCTGGGGCACTCTTACGCTCTCAGCTCGTTGGCTTTTTTCATCTTCCGTCTTTTAATGGAGGTCACCACTTTACAGCGCTGGTCGTGATTCTATGTTTTTTTTTATTTATTTATCTCGATTCCATTATATTAGGGTGTCCGGAAAGTTTTGAGAAATTCAACCAGCTCATTCAACACTTATCAACAACAATAAGAGATAGTAGTTCATAGCTATAATGAATATTGTCCATCCTATGTTCCCTAGCTTTTGGGCGGGATTACTGAGAATTAGGGGGCGTACGCAATATCTAAGCTAAACTTCCATGGAAAGAGACCGATTGATCTCCTAGTATAGATAATTTTGAAGCGCATTTTATCCAGCATCGGAGGCGGTTCCTCATTCCCGATTTGACCTGATAGAGGAGCCAGAACGGTGAAAATGAAGTAAAGGCAGCGTTCATAGTTCGCGATCGCCGCGATCGCCAGTAGGAGGACCAGCTCGCCCCAACTAGATGGACGGATTGAAAAACTTGTTGGAAAGGTATTTTCATGTGGTTTTTTCTTTCTTCCGCCCACTAGTACTCTCAGTGAGGGGGTTATTTGATTAATAAGTGGGGTGCAGTTAAATAATAGGCTTCTAGATCGAGAATCTTATAATTTTCTTTAATTTTTGGAATCTTATAATTTTCATCCGAAGTGGCTCTTTTCGACAACTTGGCCGATTTGAGCCATTTCACGGCATTTTTGCTGCATCTCCGGCCGGGTGTGTCGTTAGGTCCGCCCGGCGAGAAAACTCGTCCAAAGGGACCCTCTTTGCCGGTTTTTTTCGCCAATTGTGTCACCCAGTATCACTAGTAAAGTGGCAGGAGATCTCTCAAGCAAATAACGTGGAGGCGGACCTATTTAAACCACTTTCCAACTTTTATTTTTACCTTTTTAGTTTTTTTTATTTTTCGATATTAACCGCCAACTGTTTTTGTTTCCCATTTTTGTTTTCTTTGTTTGTTTTTGTCACTACTTTTAGAATCTTACACTTTACTTGACCTAAGCTTATCATATGTAGGGAGATCCTGGTCGGTATAACTGCCATTTGTCATCCAGTGCCCACGCCTAGGGGCGCTGTCAGGGCAGGTAGAAACTGAATTGTTAGGGATAGGGCTTAGCGTTATCCGCCATTGAAGTCAGTTTCATCGTGTTAATGAGGAGTCACCCCGATTTGGAGGATCCCTAAAACTGGTTTAAATCTGGCTTTTCAAATTTCATTCTCCCAGATCTGAAGATCTGACTGTAGACTTTCTACCTACTTTGGTAATTTTATGTTACCTAAATTTAGCGTTAGGTAAGATTGTAGTCCCGATTCGGTTTCGTACAGCTCAAAAATTATAAAAGCGCACCTGTGCGGTATCAAATAAATAAATTTACTAGTAATACTGGGTGACAGGTGGACCTCATTGGGCGACTTTCCTAAACATTGCTTCTGTCGTTTCCATGGCGTCATCGCAGTACTCACTGCCGCTTTTGAACTTCATCTATGAGCTGAGATAGTGTGTGGACGAGTAATTTCGAAAATGTATTTCGACTCTTTTGGCACTGAAGAAGGCGACGACGCCGAAACGTCAAAACAACGGTGTCAAGCTCAATCAAATTGCTGACAGTGTCGACGACTAAATTTTGCACCGAATCTCATCCCATGTAATTGTTAAGTTGCAGGCTTTCTACCGCGATCAAGGCCCATATAGAGTTGATGTGACGTCGTCTATTCGTGGCTGTCAATCATACCGGAGGTGTCCACTTCACAAGGTTCTCAACTGCTGCAGACAGTACGTTACAAGCGATCCTGTAAAGGAATGTGAAGCGGGAAAATGACCATATACGCGTTAGTGATCGCAACAACGGAGCAAAAGCCAACATCTTCTCTATCTTGTTTGTTCTATTTCTCAACACTACATCTTCATATGAAACATCCTTTAATCTACAATGTACACACTGTTTACTCTCGAACATTCCTGTAATTCTGTCATCTTACCAATATGTAATAATGTACCTGTGATACTGCATAAATACGTGTTGTTAAATAATCATAACACATGTACCTTCGGGTTGATATTTACACGGTTCAAATGACCTTGCCGCTCTCCCTTCCCCCCCCCCCCCCTTCCCCCCTACACGCTAAGAAAATCGCTCGACTCCAGGTTTCGATCGTTTCAGAGCATTTCAGGCCTCTTTCATGCAAATCGCGTTCATTTCCTATAAAAATTCACCGATCTGGATGTTCCTCCTTCCTTTACTGATGACCACAGATAGAGAATTATGTTTTTGTTTGCATTTTGTCTAAGGGCACGTCAGAACGGAAAACTGGACTTTTCTCTGCCTTCGCGCTCCTAAGATATTTCCATACTTTTCGAATTCCAAAGCTGACGACGGTCTACAAGTTTTTTTTTCACTGACTTTTGTTCATGCGGAATAACATGTTTTAATTGGTCCCGAAAAACTTTCCTTTACTCTTCCTTAACGAAGTCCCACCTTGTGGCGATGGACTTGGAGGAGAACGTACATTCACGTTCGTGAAGCACAGAAGGGTGAGAGCTAAATGGTGTCGCGCGAGCTTCTTGGCATGACACTCCATTCGCATATCGCTTGCAGCGGCTGTCGTGTCTCACGGCAGCGAGGCACGCTACTCACAACTAGTGAACAACGCAGAGAGTGAAGAGGCTCCAGGAGGCAGCGCATTGAACTGTTGGTTCAGGGCCTGTGGCTAAGGGCTGTGGCAACGAGGGTGGAGTACAGAGTCGGGCGCTATTTACTCTTTACGCGCTACGCAAAACTATCCAGAATTTGCGTCGACGGTTTTTACCTACTTTTCTTCGCTGCGGACTATTTGGTCGAACGTTGTCTCCCTAGGTAGTTCTGACCTCCTGAACACGGATATCACATTTGTTTAGCCCGAACTTATCGACAACTCCCTGGCGCTAGACATGCACTATAAAATCACGGTGCCTGTAGCGGAGGTTTCGTGCTGAGCGGATGTGATATTCACGTTCAGGAGGTCAAACTACCTTAGGGAACAAGTTTTTAGCCAGTTCTGCTGAGGCAGAAAAAAGTCGGTCAAAAACTGGTCTGTTTTTGGGGCAGTAAAGGGTAAAAAATGCCCAGAGACGGTATAGGTGTCCGCCTTCCATGCCCATTCGGGTGCATTTTCGAGCGGAGATAATACTGTGCGAAAATGTCTGGGCCATTACGGCAGCGACGCAGGACTGTGTTGGTGGTGAGGTTGCAGTCCCTCCTTTAAGCCCACTCACGAACTGAGCATTAAGCAAATTCCCGCGACATTACATATGCATAAGAGTATTCAATAATGGATATTGCCCCTGTGAATGTTGACTTAATTGAAGAAGGAACACGAAAAAGCGCCCGCAATAAGACCCTCTTTATTTCAATTGATCATGATCACCGGACGAGCGTAAGGTGGTCAAGATCGATTGTGGATTGCAAAAGGCGGCGATACACTGATAAGAGACGAGAGAGGCCAGAAAACGACGGGCGAGAGAGCGCAATGGCAGTCTCACAACGACACGGTCACTGGAGGCCGGCATGGGCCTATCGGGCGCCAATGGGCCTAAAACATGAGCGTCGTGCGTTCTGCTTGCTGTTTTTCAACTTTTAAAAGCAGCATATCCTCTACTGTTGCCTGCCTGTTCATCATGCACGTTTATGAGGTGCTGGCCGGAACGTGCCTTCGAGAACGGGCGCTGGCTTTTGTAGCCACTGCAACTGTGATTTGATTTGCTTTGCAAGCACAATGTTTTCACCTCTTTGAAAATTGTGCTTGCAAAGCAAATCAAACTGTATTCAGTTCGACGCTATTCATGATTTATCTCTTGCGACACGTAATAACAAGTTCAGCCGGATACTCAACCTAAACTGAACATGACAAAACAATCAACTCACGATGCGCAGAGGCACATATTGACTGGGATTTTGGTCGAGTCCGTACGATCCCCTGACGCCCCGCCCCACCAACAGAGCAAGTTACGACTAATACCGCCACCCCCCTCCTTACAACGTCCGTGAAGCGAGAAAAATCAACTATCAAAATGAATTTTTCTCAGCCCCAAATACGACCCCCTCTTCCGACGAACGAATATGACTGCTCCCTCCTGGGGATTCCCCAACAACGATGTGCCCTGGTACGGGGACTGACGTGACGAAATTGACTGTGATACAAAGAGCCTAATGGAATTCAACACGTTGACGACATTATGAAAAGGTGGCTTATAAGCGACTGCCCACGTGGGAAAATATAAGCCATCGGTGGCTCGTAACCTCCTGCAACACCTTTTGGGTGACCCTTCAGTATCGATCATTTTCTTGTATTCCCATGCTTCGTGAAATTGAACCTCCAACGAGAAAAATGTTGCGGTCTTCATGGAATACTTTGACCAGAAACCTTCGATGTAATTTTCTTTTTAGATGGAATCTTGACTGTGATGACTGCTCGGGGCTTTGATCATGAATGACACGTGCTTGTCGTCGGTGCCATATGGCGCTAATAGGCGCCATTTTGACGCTAGCGGTCTTTTCGGCACTGAGCAGGATATAAACTTTTATACCTGGTTTATTTGACACCCATGCTTTATTCCTTTGTAGTGGTGGCGCCATATGACGCCAAAAATCGCCTATTTGGCGCCACCACTTTTTAGCAGAAAATTATGTAAACCTGCGTAATGCGCATGTTTGAGACAAGAAGACTTTTGTTTTCAACCAGGGCACATCATTGGTTATAGATTTTATTCGAGTCCTTTTTGGGGAGGGTTGGGGGGGGTGAATAGCACATGTGGAACAGGGGAAGCCGCGAGGAAAATACGATCCCCTCTCTCAGGGACCCCTCCCTTTTGGGAATCCCCAACAACGATGTGCCCTGTTTTCGGAACCAGCTTACGTAAAGCAGTAACAAGGGTTGTCCCCGTTCTGCCAAGGCTGTATGTGGGAGAAGGAGTCTTACTTTCTGAGCTTGGCCTTAGCAAAGTTCCAAAAGCGCCCGCCCTGAAAAAGTGTTTGGTACGGCCGACTATGAATTATTGTATGGATGTTAAAGACCTAATGAGCAAAAAACCATAGGAACAGGAGTCATTGTAAGAAATTTTTAAGGCTGGCTCCGCCCACTTCGCCGCATGTTCTGCCCACAGTGGATATGCCTTGCGCTTCTCAACCGGTGACCCATCGCTGGCCTAATCCGCTTCTTCACGGTCTCTGAAGTGCTTTAGAATTTTTTTTTGATTTGGCTCTACCCACGTCGCCGCACGCTCCGCCCGCAACGGGTATGCCTCTCATTTGTGAACCGATGACCTCTCGCTGATTTTAAACAACATTATCCGGTGTTTTCGAGTGTTCTGATCCGTTCCATGATTTTTTTTTTAATTTGGCTCCACCCACCAGCATACGTCGTGGGCGCACAACCTATGCTGGTGGGTGGCGTTGTGTTGTCCGCCCACAACGTATGCTTCGCGCTTTTCAACTGGTGACCCCTCGGTGACCTGATCCGTCCTTCCAGGCATCTGAACTGTTCTGGAATCCTTTTTTTCCCTTTTTCGGACCTGGCTCCGCCCACCTCAGCGCACGCTCCGCCCACAACGGGAGTGCCTCGCTCGTCTCAACATGTGATCACTTGGGGACCATAATCCACTTTTTGCGCCGTCTGTATGTTCTAGGACCAAATTACGCGTTTTCTAGTAGCCTTGCGTTTGATGGCACGGCCCGCCCATTGTGGGCGGGCTTCAGCCACCGAGGATTATGCATTATGGTCCCATGTGATCACATGTTGAACGAGCGAGGCACTCGCCGTTGTGGCGGAGCTTGCGCTGGTGTGGGCGGAGCCAGGTTCGAAAAAAGGAAACAAAAGGATTCCAGTACAGTTCAGATGCCTGGAAGGACGGATCAGGTCACCGAGGGGTCACCAGTTGAAAAGCGCGAAGCATACGTTGTGGGCGGACAACACAACGCCACCCACCAGCACAGGTTGTGCGCCCAAACGTGTGCTGGTGGGTGGAGCCATCCTCAAGCATGGTGGACTCTCGCCAGATGTCCATCTACGTCATGGAATTCTCTGCGATCTCTAAAGTTTTTCGAGAACCAAGTAACCGACATTTGTGTGGAGCACCGCCCATCTCGAGTACATCCCGCTAATTTCGGGTGTCTCATTCATTTGCTCCGCCAACCCAACTAACTTTTTCCACTTGTTCCCGTCTCCAAACTGCTTTTTAGCCAAATTATGGTTTTTTTTCAGTGGCACGGGGAGCGCCATGTCATCCTCAAGTACACGCCTTATTCCTGTCTCCTCTATTCGGTCTGTCAGCCCTTTGTTAACTTTACTGCTTTGTTCCCCCTATTCGGTACTGCTCTGGAACCAAGTTGTGGTTTTTCAGTAACTCTTGGGCGCATGCGCCGCCCACTGTGGACGTGGCTTACCATGGTTCACAGGTGCTATTTACATATCATCCCATGTCCTTTCCATAGTCACCATAACCCGACCCCTTCAAGTTCTTCTTTGGGTGCTATGAATTTCATGACACACATTGTAACACAGACGGCACACGGCACGGGACTAGCCGACTATATATGGTAGGAAAGTTGAAAAATCACGAATGGCGCTGAAAAAGTGGGCATTGATCAAGGGAGGGCTTGAATGGTTGTTACAGTGTATATACCATTTTCACTTTAAATCGGACACTTTTCAAACCAAATCGGACACTTTTCAAACCAAATCGGACACTTTTCAAACCAAATCGGACACTTTTCAAATCAAATCGGACACTTTTCAAACCAAATCGGACACTTTTCAAATCAAATCGGACACTTTTCAAATCAAA